GCTTAACCATCTGAGCCACCCAGGCGCCCCTGCAATTTTTTTTTTTAAAGCAGGGTAGGGAAAGAGGGGTTAAGAAGGTGGGAATGCAGTTTATTTATTTTTTAAAAAGATTTTATTTATTCATTTGAGAGAGAGAGCACGAGCAGGGGGAGAGGCAGAGGGAGAGGGAGAAGCAGGCTCCCCGTTGAGCAGGGAGCCAGACGCAGGGCTTGATCCCAGGACCCTGGGACCATGACCTGAGCCAAAGGCAGACACTTAACCAGTGGAACCACACAGGTGCCCCAGGGCTGATGGAAGTTTAAAGTAACCATCACGGAGTAGGGCAACTGAATTTATGCAGGTGACCGTGCCAAGAACAGAGCCCAGTTCCCCCATGGGCCAGAGTTCCTCTACACCCGGGCAGTGGCGAGGTGCCACTTAAGGCAAGACCATCCTTGGCAAATCTCCTCCCCCATCCCAAGCAAATCTCAGGTAGGAGAGACTTTGGGACACAGTACAAGATCTAGGCTAATAGCATGGGCTTGAAACATCACAGGACTGGAATCAAGTTCTGGGGGCATTGGAATACTAACATCTTGTTGCCTTGTTTCCTTACTAACAGTGTGGTTACTAATGGTTACAGAAGAGGGAAGCATGAGGAATTTGGCCATAATCCTTTGGTCACAGGGACAGTTAATAAACCATTAAAAACATTTACATTTTTTTTTAAAGATTTTTTATTTATTTATTTGACAGAGAGAGACACAGCGAGAGCAGGAACACAAGCAGGGGGAGTGGGAGAGGGAGAAGCAAGCCTCCTGCTGAGCAGGGAGCCCGATGCGGGACTCGATCCCAGGACCCCGGGACCATGACCCGAGCCGAAGGCAGACGCCCAACGACTGAGCCACCCAGGCGCCCAAAAACATTTACATTTTTGTGATGGTTTATGTTAGTGCTCTTGACACAGCTCACCACCAGCTGATTCTTCTGAATTTGTACAAATATTTCCTTGAGATGCCTCAAGCCCTTCGTAGCTGGAATTCCAGCATGCACCCTGTGAAACCCACCTCCAACCCACCCGCATTGTTCAGGAGCCTGGGGACTTAGTCACAGAGGACTCAGTCTCCTTCCAAACGCCAGGCAGGGCAAGAGGGCCTAGAAACCCAAGTCCTCTTGATCACACGGTGTAGCCGCTGACCTGGGTTCTGCGGAGTCCCGAGACTGCATTGCTTCATTGTGCTGGTCCTGCCCTAGGGAACGTAGAGTTTTGCCAGCCCTATATCTAGGCTAATTTTAAGATTTTATTATTTATTAGAGGGAGAGAGAGAGCGTGTGCGGAGGGAGATGCAGCAGGAGAGGTTGAGAGAATCTCAAGCAGACTCTGCGCTCACCACGGAGCCCCACACGGGGCTCGATCTCACAACCCTGAGATCATGACCTGAGCCGAAGTCAAGAGCTGGAGGCTCAACTGACAGAGCCACCCAGGTTCCCTTAGGCTAAGTTTAGAGCAGGAGAAAGGCAAAACTAAGCATTTGTGATTCGCTGACAGAGAATATTCCAGATCTTCCTGGGTCGAGACTGAAAAGATAAGTAACAGCGGACAATCGTAATGGCACTTAAACGTTTACTACTGCTGTGCTGTGGCCAGTCCCTGGTCTAACCATTCTACATGAATTAATTCCTTTTCATACCATCCCTCTGAACTGTGGTTCCGTTACTTGGGCCTGGGGGTTATCCTACGGGGGGATCCCCTTCCCCCCAGGCTTGTGGGTTTTCAAGGAACACAGATCTTTCCAGACGTACTCAGCTGCTTCTTAAATTGATGTTTGTATTCTCCACTTCACAGGAACAAAAGCCAGAATTCTTTTTGGTCACAGTTTTGGATCTCTAGTAGAAAGGGCTTTGTTTTCCAAAGCTATAAATGCTCTCCTCTCAGCTTCCAGAGGGATGGGCTAGGATTAAAGCCTGGGTGCCTCTTTGGGCACCTTACTGAAGCAACCAGACGTATTCTATAGACCCTGATATCCTCACATTTTACTACCACATTCTAAAGTGTTCTAGAAGGCCGCCTGGGTGGCTTAGTAGGTTAAGCGTCTGCCTTCGGCTTGGGTCATGATCCCATGATCCCTGCATTGGGATCCCTGCTCGGCTGAAAGCCTGCTTCTCCCTCTCTCTCTGCTGCTCTCCCTGCTTGTGCTCTCTCTCTGTCAAGTAAATAAATAAAATCTTTAAAAAAATTTTTAAAAAAAGTAAAGTGTTCTAGAAAACCTCAGTAGGTATATATCTGGAGTTCTAAAAAATAACATAATAGTTAAATCAAATTCTATAAATTTTTTTAAAGATTTACTTATTGATTTGAGAGGGAGAGAGAGAGAGAGAGCATGAGGTGGGGAGGGGCAGAGGGAGAGGGAGAGAGAGAAACTCAAGCAGACTCTGCACTGAGCAGGGAGTCCAATGCAGGGCTCGATCTCACAACCCTGAGATCACGATCTGAGCCGAAACCAAGAGTCAGATGCTCAACTGACTGCGCCACCCAGGCGTCCCCATTAAACCAACCTCTAAACAGGGATGGCTAACTTCCCAGCTCTGGATTGAGGGCCTCCATGCTCTCCACTTTTCCTCACATAAGCCAATCCTACATTTTAGAGCCTTTCACTTTATGGCATCCAAACAAATATAATTTATGCCTGTCAGGGTACACTTGGTTGCAAGTGACCAAAAAAAAAAAAAAAATCAAACTGAAACTACCTCAGAGAAAGGATGGGGGATGTATTAGCTCATGGAATACAAACAGGAAGTTGAATGAGCCTTCAGAAACTACTGGAACATATTCTGGTTTCCCTCTCCATCATCCATCTTTATCGTCTATAACTGTTGCCTCCCACTGCAGACCAACAGGAAAGAAGCTGGGAACTCCCTAAGTCCCAGTCCAAAAATGCTGTAGAAGGGTCTAGCATGGGTCAGGTGCCTACCCCTGGATTAGGCAGCTGTGCCCAAGATGAGAGTGTAGCCATGTAGACAGGGCGTGGGTTTCAAAAGAAGGAGCAGGACACTCTAGGAAGACTACCCCATTAATGCCCACTGTCACAAAAACTGGGAAGAATCCCAACTTTGTCCTGCTCGTCACAGCAGTGGTAATGATGTGACATTTCATTCCCTTTGTCCATAGTTCACTGAACCGGCTTGTAAAGGCTCTGGTAACTCAACAAGGCCTCTGTAGCTTCTGCAGATGCTTCAAGACTCAAAGCCGAAAAAAATAGGAGAGAAAGTTCTGGGCTCATGTCGATTCGATCTGAAGGCTGGAGGAGGATTTTGGGGGACCACTCTCCTACTCAGAAAACACTCTGGAACAAGTTATTCCTTTTGAGTAGATAAGGTTTTTTGTTTTTTTTTAATTATGTGATATACATTTTTAAAGATTTTATTTGAGAGAGCATGAGTGAGGGGAGGGGCAGAGAGAGAGGGAAAAGCAGACTCCCCATTGAGCAGGGAGCCTGATGTGGGGCTCGATCCCAGGACTCTGGGATCATGATCTGAGCTGCGGGCAGATGCTCAAACAACTGAACCACCCAGACACCCCAAAATAACTTGAATTTTAAAGAATCTTTCCCAATATTATGGTGGAGGTGCAGCCAGTGGTCTAAGCTCCTCTCATAGTTTGCAATTCTAATGGAGGCTGTAGGTTCTTTCCTTTGCCTCTTCTAGGAAGAAGTTCTGTGGGATGTTGTAACTGGCCCACCTTGGATTCATACTTTTCCTCAACTGATCATGGTAGCCAGAGAAGTGGAGAAACTCCATGTAGAAATCAAATTGGCCAGGTCCAGCCCCAGGATAGAGGAGTAGGGAGGGGATGGAATGGGGTTCTTAGCTTCCTCAAATGGACCACAGGGATTGGGAATAGGAAAGTGATGTTTCCTCAAAAAGAAGCTAGACAAACCAAGATCCCAAGTGTGCGATGCCTACCAAGAAGCTTTGCACACTTAGCCACTTCAGCCTCCAACCACCCCACTGTTTTCCAGGTGATCGTTCAGCGGTCTCTGGCTGCCAAGAACCTGTCCCATGCCAAAGGAGGCTCTCTGATGGCTGCCTACCTGAAGGTGCTGCCTCTTTTCATGATGGTGTTCCCTGGAATGGTCAGTCGTGTCCTCTTCCCAGGTGAGAAGACAGTGGGGAGAAGAGATCATCTGTCTTTGAGTTGCAGACCCTGTGAAGTGTTCTAAACATGTGACTGCCATCAGAGATTGGGACTGGAGTCCCTGCAGAGTGATTTGGCTGAGGCATCTCTATCCAGACATCTGACTCTCTCCTGTTTCCTAACAGGGCTTCAACAGGAGTGTCTAGTAGATGTCCCAGACCAGTAGAGGGGAGACCCATTTGGGGCCTTGCCTCAAATGAATTTTTTTTTGAAGCCACAAACTACAGGCTAAGATCTTGTGGTTCCAGATGTCAGTTTCTTAAAGACTAATGTGAGAGTTCCTGTTGTGCTTTTTAGTATTTCAGCTCAATGGTTTGGTTAGTTTGGCCCAGTGGAACCCCTTTGGGGTACATAACAAAAACCAGGGATGTCAAAGCCTCTAGAATATTTGCCTTAGATTTTTTTTTTAATGTGGTAAAGTGATGAGATTTGCACTGTGTGGATAAACAGGACTGGGGGGGAGGGTGTTATTGGGAGTCATCATGATGTCAGGAACTGCTGATCTGTAGGGAAGAAAGCTCCTTTATTCCAAATCACTGAGCTTTCCTCCCGTACCCACGAAGGCTGTTATTAACTCAAAGGGGAGGGTAAGATAGAGTGCTCCCTCCCCTGCGTTTTATCCTACACAATGTCATGCACAGGTAAAGAAAGGGTAGGATGGCCTAGAAGTTTTGTCAAAATAATTTAGGACAATAAGCCTTAGGAGCAAAAAGCTGGGGAAGGAAGGGGGCGGGGGGAGGGGGAGGGGGAGAGCTCTCCATGGTGCTAGACTCTGGGCTTCCCGCTCCTCCAGCACAGAGGGCATGAAGAACCCAGAGTCACTGGTCCTGGTTCCAGGGAAGGTGCACAAGACTTGGGAAAAGCCAGGTCAGAGTAAGAACTGGGATTTGGGATTTGTGGTGACTTGATGGAAAATACACAGCTTTTGGGTAAGTCTTGACATATGAACAAAGAACGTAGCTTTAAACAACCTACATTCATCATGCTAAGAGTCTTAACAGAGAGTGTGGTCTTTCTGAATATGGACTCTGATTTGAATGTTGCAGCCAGAATCCTGGCTCTGCCACTTCCTAGCGGTGTGACCTTGGAAAGCCACTTGCCTCTGTTCCCTCACTCATAAAATGGGGATAATCCTTCATGAGGCTTAAAGCAGTTCTCGGCACGAGGTAAGCACTATAGAAGTGTTTACTCTTATTTTATGTATTATCTCATTTATTCCTCAAAACAACCTTATGAGGTAGGTACTGTTAGGGCTCTTTTCATTTACAGATGAAGAAACTGAAGTTCATCCACTCATTTATTCTTCCATGTGTCCATCAAAGATTCTGAGAGCCAATGATATGCCAGGCCTTATTCTGGGAGACCCTGGGGATCCATAAGTGAACAAGACAAACAGTATCCCTGCCGTTGGTGGGGCTCACATTCTAGTGGTGGAGGAGACACAGAAAGATAAGGAAATAAGTAAATGAGACATTCATTGATTATGTTGAGAGCTGTGAGCCATTGATTGTGTTGAGAGCTGGGTGGGGGGATGGGGTAACTGGGTGATGGGCATTAAAGAGGGCACATGATATGATGAGCACTGGGTGTTACACTGAACTGATGAATCACTGAACATTATATGAAAAACCAATGATGTATTATACCTTGGCTAATTGAATTTAAATTAAAAAAAAAAAAAAGAAATGCAAACTTTTGGGCCTTGTCCAAGACCTGCTGAATCCGAATCTCTTGAGGTTGAGGCCCAGCAATTTAATAAGCTCCCCAAAAGATTGAGAAGCCCTTGCCTAAAGTGCCAGGCTCCAGGTCAAGCCACTCTAACTTCCTGTTTCCATGTCTCCCTCTATGTCTGCTCTGCCAGTTCCCCCTGAATCTTCAATTGGGTTCAGAAACCACCCAAAAGGATGCTCTAATACTGAGCTATAATGAGCCTGGACAACACCTTCTTCCACTTATCCATCTGATAAATGGTACACACTTTGAAAGGAACCATAGTGGAAATTAAGAGAGAAGCAAAACCACCCTCAAAAACAGTAAAACACAAGTCTAGAAATGTACCCATTTATAAACCCAATCATCCCCACCTGAGCTCTGGAATACATTAAGGGTATGAGACCTATCCATGATATTTACTAACTCTTTGATTTGGGGAAGCCTTTTCACCTTTCTGGGCCTCAAATTTACTTGTCCTTACAATAGGTGTAATAACCACATCTTCCCCATGGAGTTGTGAAGAATACAGTGAGAATTGTATTGAATTGAATGTTAACATTTGGAAATAGGAGATTTTGTGTTGTTTGGATCTGACCTTGCCAGAAGCATCCTTTTTTTTTTTTTTTAAGATTTTATTTATTTATTTGACAGAGAGAGACACAGAGAGAGAGGGAACACAAGCAGGGGGAGTGGGAGGGGAAGAAGCAGGCTTCCCACGCAGCAGGGAGCCCAATGCGGGGCTCGATCCCAGGACCCTGGGACCATGACCTGAGCCAAAGGCAGACGCTTAATGACTGAGCCACCCAGCACCCCCAGAAGCATCCTTTATGTCAACTATCAGAGGGCCTGATAAGAGAACCCACACCATATATGAAATGGTTGATTAATTAGCCCAAGACAGGTAGGTGGTTGTTACCCAATGGTGTGTTAATGATCCATAAGGCTGTTGGTTTCAGTTGTAGCTTAGCCAACTAATATCCTAGGATGAATATATTCTTTTTTTTTTTGAAGTAAGCTCCATGCCCAGCATGGAGCCCAATATGGGGCTTGAACTCATGACCTTAAGATCAAGACCTGAGCTGACATCAAGAGTTGGATGTTTAACCAACTGAGCCACCCAGGCTCTCCGGATGAAGCTGAACAGACAAGGACAACTGCCACAAACATGCTTTGTAAACTGTGTATGTCACGTTTCATGGTTGAAAAGTGCATGTCTGGAAGGTTAAACAACCTAAGGTTAACAACCAAAGGTTAAACTATGTAGTTAATTAAATATCCCAGGGAGAGTCTTGCTCCATCTCAGTGTACCTTGAAGAGAGGAGCTTTTGGGGGCGCCTGGGTGGCTCAGCTGGTTGGGCTACTGACTCCTGGTTTTAGGTCGTGGTCTCAGGGTCCTGGGCTCAAGCTCTCCCTCTTCCTTTCTCTCTAAAGTAAATAAATCTTGAGAAAGAGAGAGGAGCTTTTGGACAAAAAGAGGTAAAGTCCATATGATCTGAATGTGAATAAGATCTTTGCCTGACCTGGGAGGCTCCTTACAATATTCTGGGCATGGGAATGAAACTATTTCCTTATCTTCTTTTAAGACTTCTCAGAAGTATCATAAAAAGCCAAGAACTTTGACCTGTCAAAAGCATTTTTCTCAAGATTGTTTCTGCTCAGGACTTCTCTTCAAATATCACTTTTGGTCTACAGTCTTAATTTTGTCTAAGACTTGAACCAGAGCTTTGGGGGCATCTACTTCTATTCTGTAGCAATTGTATTATTAATTGTGGCCACAACACCCATTGGTGGATGTTTGTGAGTCGAAGGGTCCCAGCCTTTGAGAAGACATAATAATGTGTGGAGAAATTTTATGAAGATCAGTTTGCCCTTGGACTTCCCAGTGGATGAAAGGGCCTAGGGCTATATCCATTTCTTAGGTCTTATATTACATTAAAAAGAAAATGAAGATAGAACAATACTGCATTTTAAAATTGTGGTGTCCTTTAAGTGGTTATAGTTATTAAATTAGCAGTTTCAATGCAGGTAAAAATATAGAGACTAAGTGTACAACCTCACCTGGAGATACTGTCAAACATCTACACTTGGGGTCTCAGTTAAATGGTCATCATGACCTTGATAAAGCACTGGAACCAGGCAGGAAGTTGGCATGAGCGGTGGAGGGCTTCATGTTCACTTGTAAACTGAGGTTCGAGATGGGCGGACAGGAAGCCCATCACCCTTCAAAATGAGGACCAAGGACTGAAGACTGTGGATTGAGCAGAGGGGGCCCAGGAGGGATTTATGGGAGTTATTTCTCAGTCCACCTGGTGAAGGAGACTTGAGAGGTAGTAAGTGGCCCAGCTGGGGTGAGTGGTGTTGGGTAGGCATTGGGGCGTTGGTGAGGAGCACTGGTTAACTCAGATGTCAGGAGCTGAGGAAGTGAGAAGGTGACAAGAAAGGTATCCTTCAGACACAGGTGCCAAACCATTGAGACCAGAGTTCTGAAGGTCCCAGTGGCCAGGATTAAGTCTTGGATAGAGTGCCTGCCAGACTCATTAAAGACAGAAAAGCATATACTCTCTTGGTCTTCCTTCTCTGAAAAATTGGATTTCGAGTCAGGAGACCTGGGTTTCAATTCTGCCTCTGGCATGACCTTGCTGGGTGTTTATACTCAGGTCTCTCGCCCTGATTCTTCATCTGTGAAACGGTGGAAGCAAGCACTGTGATAGCTAGCTCTGTCCCATAGAAATTTGTTGAGCACCTGCTCCATCTCACGCTCTGGACTCCAAGCAGGAGTATGGACGTGTATGCTTGGGACGTGTTCATCATTATACTAGGGAAGAGATGACGAACTGCAGATGCCACAAAGGCTGGGTGGCTTTACACCAGAAAATCAGAATGCTGTTCAGGAGAGCAAAGACCCGACACAGAAATGCAGGAAGAGGGGGGAGAGAGATTCAGCTAGCACAGTTGGGTTGTTAGGAGCCTAATACGAGAACAGCTCTTGAGGAGCTGGGGGAAAAGAGGGATTTGGAAAATATTCGCCCTGTGTGGGGCAATGGCATTCTCCTGTGCATCCCTGAGGAACTGTAGGCAAGATATGAATTGCTTGTGTCCCCATTTCGGGGGCCCGGGGGAATGCAGCCTGATGGGGGGATGCTGTGGAGAATGGCCGCTAGGTGTCTCAGTTTTATTTGGGTGACAGTAATAACAGCCGAAGTGCATTCAGTGCTTCCTACATATCAGTTTCCGGGCCAAGCACATTACGTCTGTCATCTCAGCCAACCCCCATGATAATCATACAAAGTAGACTTACATTACTGTCCCAGTTTTACAGATAGGGCAAGGTTAAGTAAGAAGGTCATGGTTTATAAAGTCTAGGCTCCTTTTTTATTTCACTGAGTTATACAGGTATAGACAGTCATCCTGTCTCCCGGCACGGGCCTGCGTCACCCCATGCTAGTGGCTCGGCCTGGGCTCACAGGGTCTGTCTGCTCACCCTGGGCCTTGTTTTTTCCACAGATCAAGTGGCTTGTGCAGATCCAGAAACCTGCCTGAAGGTCTGTAGCAACCCTTCTGGCTGCTCCGACATCGCATATCCCAAACTGGTGCTGGAACTCCTGCCCACAGGTAATGTCCGCGCGTCCCTAAATGGAGTCCCCGTGGCGCTCCCGGAAGGGAAGACCTTGGCCGGGCCCTGATCTGAGGGGGGGACAGGATGGGAGGGCAGCAGGAGGGAATGCGCTCTGGGCTGAGCGACTGAGCCCCAGAGCCAGGGCCCTCAAATAAAACCCAGGTCCTGGCTATGCCCCCGCTCCAGCCCCCGTCCCTCCTCGTGGCTCCCACTCCTGAGTTCTGCTTCCTCCCGGTGGCACCTACTGGGATCAGCTGGTGCTGTGGGCCTGGGGTAAGGGGGTCATGAGTGGAGGCAGCAGCCGTTAGCAGGAAAAGCCTGAGGCCCATAGACCTCCCTTTCGCCCCCAGGGCTCCGTGGGCTCATGATGGCTGTGATGGTGGCGGCGCTCATGTCCTCCCTCACCTCCATCTTTAATAGTGCCAGCACCATCTTCACCATGGACCTCTGGAATTACATCCGGCCTCGGGCGTCAGAGAGGGAGCTCATGATTGTAGGCAGGTAAGGTTGTACTGAGTGGGACTGGGGAAGGAGAGTGAAAAGTTTAGAAACCCGAGGAGGAGAAAGCTGAGCCCACCCAGAGGCAACCCGACCAGCCACTCATCCTGGAGGCTCAGCCTCCTCTGATGGCAAAGGTGAGGATCCTTAAGACTCTGTATGAATAAATCACTCATTCAAGAGATGTTTGCTGAGCACCTACTATGTGCCAGGTGGCTGGGTGCAGAGCAGGGAAAAGCAAAGATTCAGTTTCTGCTTTCGCAAAGCTAAAGAGAAGATAATTAAAGAGAGAGGATAATTAAAAAGAAATTACAACCCCAATGAGTGCTATGAGGAGGAGCCAGGAGATGCAGGGACTCAGAGGAGTCCCTAGCCTGGACTGGGTGAGACC